TGTTTACATTTGCAGGAGATAACGCTGCCTGCTTTTTCTTTACAATGTCACCTGAAAGTGAGAACAGGCGTTCACACGGCCCTGTTGTAGCCAACATTGCAAGATAATTATGTGCCAGATGCACTAAAGAGTCATATGTCCCTTCGTCTTCAACCATCATTCCAGAGGACATGCATCCATGCTGACGACTGGTTCTGCTCAATAATGATCCAAAGCAGTGCAGACCGACGCATGTTCATTTTCATCATCTGAGTCAGATGCCAAGCAAAAAAGTCAGATGCCAAGCAAAAGGTTGATTTTCTTTTCTTTTTTTTTTTTTTTTTTTTTTTGTGGTTTAGGTTCTGTAGTTCCTGCATCAGAGTGTTGCTCTCTTAAGATTTCTGAAAGGATGCTCCACACCTCGTTCCTCTCAGATTTTGGAAGGCATTTCAGATTCTTAAACCTTGGTTCAAGTGCTGTAGCTATCTTTAGAAATTTCATATTGGTACCTGCTTTGTGTTTTGTCAAATCTGCAGCGAAAGTGTTCTTAAAGCGAACAACAACATTTGCTGGGTGATCATCCGAGACCGCTATAATATGAAATACATGGCAGAATTCGAGCAAAACAGAGCAAGAGACATACTATTCTCCCCCAAGGAGTTCAGTCAAAATTTAATTAATGCATTTTTTTTAACTAGCATCATCAGCATGGAAGCATGTCCTTTGGAATGGTGGCTGAAGCATGAAGGAGCATATGAATGTTTAGCATATCTAGCATGTAAATACCTTGCAACGCCAGCTACAAAAGTGCCATGCGAACACGTGTTCTCACTTTCAGGTGACACTGTAAATAAGAAGCGGGCAGCATTATCTCCCATAAATGTAAGCAAACTTGTTTGTCTTAGCGATTGGCTGAATAAGAAATAGGACTGAGTGGACTTGTAGGCTCTAAAGTTTTACATTGTTTTGTTTTTGAATGCAGTTATGTAACAAAAAAAACTACATTTGTAAGTTGCACTTTCACGATAAAGAGATTGCACTACAGTACTTGTATGAGGTGAACTGAAAAATACTATTTCTTTTATCATTTTTACAGTGCAAATATTTGTAATAAAAATATAAAGTGAGCACTGTATACTTTGTACTTTGTTTTGTAATTGAAATCAATATATTTGAAAATATAGAAAAACATCCAAAATATTTAATAAATTTCAATTGGTATTCTATTGTTTAACAGTACGATTAAAACTGCAATTGATTATGATTTGTTAATCGCAGTTAATTTTTTTGAATTAATCGAGTGAGTTAACTGCGATTAATCAACAACCCTATAATAAAGTCTAAGCATCCAATTCCCATTCAAGTACCTGTCTTGGTCAGGGAGTGAAAGGAGACTAAAGAATCCTCCATAAAATGGATATACTGTAGTGAGAATCATCAGCAGCATACTAATTATAGGTATACTATGGGGTATTCTGGGCTATCATACACAATTAAATCTCCACAAGCATAGTTCTTGATGCAAGATGAGCAACTGGCACTGCACCTCTCTGAGTGAGCAGAGACTTTCGAGAGCAGCCTCATTCTCTTTTGCCTGGTCCCATAGGCATTTAAATAAAACCTCATGTTCAGTCATATCAAAGACTACTGAAATGGCTAATAAAATCAGCATGGATACTTGATACTGTCTATCACCAGAAGGAGACCAGTAAACAAAGATCTGAATGAAATCTCTCTGTTTCAACTAAAAATAGGATGAACCCCACAGGTTCAGAGCTGTGGATTCTACACATAATTCTGGTGACCTATAGTGGGAGAGCTGCAGGATTGAACTACAGCAGGATTGAACCCTATAGCAATTGAGGAAATATTTGATATCAAATTCCCCTGATAAACTTCTTTAGTCACATTATTATCCTTACTGAGTTATTGCAAAAATTTAAAACTATTGATTTGTTTTATTTTAAAAATTTTAAACAAACTGAAGCAAAGAGAAATGAGGAACACTAGAAGACAAGGATGCAACAAATCTGCATGAGTGGGTAAAAATAATATAACAAAACTCAGCACTTAGCAAACAAGAGAATTATTTTCATGTAACAGATCAAAAATTAGAGAATTAGTCAAGCTGTTGTTTTCTATCTAATGCAAACACCATTACAAAAGGCAACAGGTGTTTCATATCATCTGCAAATGATACATTATCATCCAGAACTATGATTTTATGATATTCATAGTATTGCTCTTCCATTTTGTTCTTGTCCTTCCAAAGTACACAGGAGAATGTTTCCACAACGTGAATGTTTTATCACTGCAGCTATTGGCATGTTTACATTTCAACAGCAACAGCTCTATTATCACAGCTACCATATAGGTTGAGGGTACCAAGAGCGTCTAAGGACTGTTTGTTCTTATTGTTATCATCATACAGAGTTTCTCAATGATGAATTTTCACAATCTCCCACTGTAATGTTTACTGGTTAATGCACAGAGGGTGTATGTGTTCCCTGCCCTCTGCTGGATGGAATGGCACACCTCCTCGAGTGTATGTGATCACATCTGCTCAAGTTACCTACCTGCAGTGTATATAAGCACCAATACACCATGCGATAGGTTACAAGTGCATATGGAAACTTGCATTTCTTTGCACATCCAGGTCTGAGAGACAGAACAATCTTAGCACCAGTCTACACCTAAAACTTACGTTGACTTAGCTATATTGCTCAGTGGGGTATGAAAAATTCACACCCCATGAGACGTAGCTAAGCCAGCCTCAGCTCTCATCTAGACACTGCTAGGCTGACAGAAGAATTCTTCCATTGACCTAGCTACCACTTCTGGAGTGAGCAGATCTACTACAGTGAGAGAAAAACCTCTTCCATCGCTATAGCAAGTGTCTACGCTACAGCAGCAAAGCTGCAGGTGTGCCGCTGTAGTGCAACTATACCCTTAGTCACCATGCACCCCTGGGGGGCTTATTCACCCCCAAAGGGAAGGCTGTAGGCCTCCTCTCTGTATTGTTTCATGGACAAAGAAGCAAGTTTGTTTCAGAGGGAAGGTGCAGTGTTACCACACCTCTGGGACCCGGGAGAGATCAGTGAGCGGCTGCGCCCCCAAAGGCACCACTTTTCCCTGAGCTCCCCACGGGTCAACATGGTTCCACATCATCACTAAGGCAGGCCAACAGCTCCAGTTCACAATTTGATGTAAGCCCTAGTACTAATACAGCTAATAGACCCTTTCCTTTAGCCCAAGCGATAGGAACTTCGGTGCCAGAAACACAGGTTCCAGAGTTCTATTTCCACTAATAACTATGAAGTCTTGGCAGGCATGGAGTCATTACATTTCACGAGGGAGAGACACCAATTCTACTTGTGTTATAGTCCAGTGCTTAAAGTAGCTTGAGATGGTGTCATTGTGTTCTCTATGCTAAATGATGCACCCTCACCAGTGTAAAGCAAGGTAAAGTTTGCATGCTTCATGTACTGAAAATTAATCTCTTTTACAAATAAAATAAATTGAGGTGAGTAGTGCTGTTCCACTGGTAGTACATCTCTCCAATAAATCATGTGCTTCTTGTATTTTGTTACTGACACATCTAATATATGGTTCCATTTTTATTTTTTGTACTTTTAAAAACAAAAAAAGACATTCTGTAAACTCTAATTTAATCATAATACTTTAAGGCATTTAAACACATCACTAAAAAACCATGCCGCTCAAATTACATTGCACAACAGCCACATAAGACAGTCAGTTATTTCCTGGTAAAACATGGGCCCTCTGCTACAATCCTTACTGATGTGAGTAACTCTGTTGAAGACAATAGTGTCTACTTATTTGCATACTCCTGTGAGTAAGAGTTGCAAGGTCACACCCCATATTTGTGTAGCCCTGTCTACATATCCTTATTTTCCCCACTTTTTGCATAAAATTTACCTAGCAATTTGCCTTAGTACATTGCCTTAATACATGCTCTTTTCAACTCTTATAAATATGATTCTTCTGGACATGAAATAAAAAGATTGTTTTCTTCACTTTGACAGTTATCGCAATGTACATCAAAAGCAGAATATACACCAAAACAATCAATATTTTCACAAGACAGTTAACAACATTTTGGCCTCACATCTTAGACACTGATTATTTATTTCCAATTCTTTTTATGATGAAAAATTCTACTTAGTCAGTTGACTTGTGAATTCTATTGGAATCGTGTAAATACTAAGATTTTTTTCATTGCTCAATCAAGACTATGGAAAATTTTACAGTTGTAGTGGTGTTGACTAACAAATAAAAACTTTCAGATGCTTTTCTTCCTTACGCTAATGGAAACAGACACCAAACACTGCTTCCCCACTGTTATGTGTTTTACATGCACAGCATCTGTCATTTCTTTATTTAGAAAAATAAGATTCATTACTAACTTTGCTTTCAACTAATTTATGCTACATCAGTATAGTTTATGTAACCTATAAGAATGTTACACTGTTCTCTATTTCTATGCCCAGATCAATCAAAAATGTGTTTTACTGCACAAAGCAGCAACAATACAAAGTGTACATAAATATGCAACTTAAAGCAGAGAACCAAAATACCTTCTGCAGAGTACTATTCAGATTTCTTTTGGCCTCTCTAGTTTGATACTATGTTGCATTAGTCTTTCTTTTGCTTGCAAGAAACCAGATATTGGATCAAAGATTTATTTCTTTGTTTAAATCTTATTAGGATTTGATTGTCAGGGAATATTTATTTAATAATGCAGACCAATTTTTAGAAGTTTTGATTTTAACTTTTAAAGGCAATTGCTGTTACATCTTTTCTAGGGTTAAAACAATGTGCAGAATTGTGTCCTCACTATTATCATTTGTATGCTTTTTAAAATCTATTTTGAAATTTAAAAAAGGCAAGCTATTCAATATTCCTTTGCAAGACACAGAAAAACATTGCACGTTACATTTGCCATGAAATATAAAACAGTTTCCAACTAATTTGGAAAAGCTCAACTTGTACAAACTTACCAAAGCAACATTCTTTCTCCAAAGAAGAGTTGTTTATGGTAAAGTAAATTTGAGACACAAAAGGCTTCATTTCCTGGGTCCATTTTGCATAAGGTTTAGCTTTTAAATCCATCTGAATGTGTTCTGTACAGTTCAGGAACATGGGTTTCCTTTCTCCAGAAGGCATACTTGGGATCTCTAGTCTGTTTCAGTTGAAATGTTTTATGGCCTTGTTCTGACTAGGCCAGCGGCCACTTGTTGCAATGGCAACAGGAAAAGCCAGGATCTGCCTTCTCAGTCCTGACAGGCATGAATAATTAATGTATTTTCACCTCCCATCATTAGCATTCCATTCAAGCAACACAAATGAAGCGATTCATTTCTTCTTTTGTCTTCAGAGAAAGCTCACTGGATTAATGAGGGTTATCTGTGAAGATAAAACCTGGATCTGCTGATTTATTTAGTCTGATTAGTTCGTATTTGTGTCTCTAAATGCAGGCTTTATTGACAATAATACATTGTCAATGCTTTTCCAACCTTATTCAGGAAGGCACTGTTACATGCAGCTACAGCAACAATATCTGGCTGCAGCACATGAATGTTTCATTTTCTTGATGTTAATATTTAAACTGGTGTTCTTTGTTTCTGAGTGCCTTCTTGAGCAAAATTAAGAACAGATCTAGAGGCATAATGCTTGCACATGTTTCTCTAATGATCTCTTGGTTTGTTAGATAACACTTGTTTTCAAAATCTTCCCGTTATCAATAGAAATGAGTGAAAAAAATTGCAAAGAAAAAATATCAGCTTTCAACAAGTGATGTTTTGGAGGTCATTTATTCCATTTTGACAATTTCATTTTCATCTAATATTTCAATGATAAAATAATACTAACATTGATGTTTGTCAATCATTCCAGTAAACAAGAGAAGTTACCTATCACTGCTCTCTGGGTCCTGTTCAAGAGATTGATTAGGGAAATTGCAATGTAATCCATCTACTTCACCTATATAATATTTGTGGGTCAGCAGCAGCTTCTGCATTATTGTGTTTGAAAGCTGCAGAGATGCTGAGTAGCATCAGCATTAAGATATGACTCCTATACCCATTGCTGTGAGGACGTCATCTTTTACGGCCACTAGTGCTGTTGACAGTTCAATAGCTAATTCTTTACATTGCAACTACTGTATTATTGTCAATACATTATTCATTCAGACTGGTACCTTCTCTACAAAATCAAAGCAAAACACACACATAGCCTTCCTGATACTTTAAACAACAAGGATGACACAGGATTAACCTATGGTATATTCACAAATGTTTTCCTTCCTATCAGACGTATTGGAGCATGAGCTTTCGTGGGTGGATACCCACTTCATCGGATGCATGTAGCCTACATGCATCCGACAAAGTGGGTATTCACCCACGAAAGCTCATGCTCCAATTCGTCTGTTAGTCTATAAGGTGCCACAGGACTCTTTGCCGCTTTTACAGATCCAGACAAACATAGCTACCCCTCTGAAGCTTCCTTCCTATCAGAAATCATATTAGCAATCTAAAGGAGTTTGTAGGTAAAATCTCATGGGAAGCAAGTCTAAGGGGGAAAACAGTTCAAGAGAGTTAGCAGTTTTTCAAAGAGACATTATTAAGGGCACAAGAGCAAACTATCCCACTGTGTAGGAAAGATGGACAGTATGGCAAGAGACCACCCTGTCTTAGCAAGGAGATCTTCAATGGTCTGAAACTCAAAAAGGAGCTCTACAAAAAGTGGAAACTAGGTCAAATTTCACAGGATGAATATACACAATTAACATAAGTACGTAGGAATAAAATTTGAAAGGCCAAGGCAAAAAATGAGATTCAACTAGAGACATAAAGGGTAACAAGAAAATATTCTATAATTACACTGGAAACAAGAGGAAGACCAAGGACAGAGCGGGCCCATTATTTAATGAGGGGGAACAATAACAGAAAATGTGGAAATGGCAGAAGTGGTAAATGACTTTTTGTTCTAGTTTTCACCAAAAAGGTGAATAGCAATTGGACATCTAACATAGTGAATGCTAGTGAAAATGAGGTCTGATCAGCGGCTAAAATAGGGAACGAACAAATTAAAAATTACTTAGACAAGTTAGATGTCTTCAAGGCACCAGTGCCTGATGGAATACATCCTAGAATACTCCAGGAGCTGACTGAGGAGGTATCTGAGCCATTAGCGATTATCTTCGAAAAGTTATGGAAGATGGGAGAGATTCCATAGGACTGGAAATGGGCAAATATAGTGCCCGTCTATAAAAAGGAAAATAAGGACAATGTAGGGAATTACAGACCAATCAGTTTAACTTCAGAACCCGGAAAGATAATGGAGTAAATAATTAAGCAATCAATTTGCAAACTCTTAGAAAATAATAAGGTGATAAGTAACAGTCAGCATGGATTTGTCATGAACAAATCACATCAAACCAACTTAATAGCTTTCTTCAACAGGATAACAAGCCTTATGGATAGGTATGAAGGTTTGGTAGATTTGGTATATCTTGACTTGAGTGAGGCTTTTGATACTATCTCAGATGACCTGGTCATAAACAAACTAGAGAAATACAACCTACATGGAGCTACTATAAGGTGGGTGCATAAATGAGTGGAAAACCATTCCCAGAGAGTAGTTATCAGTGGTTCACAGTCATGCTGGAAGGGCATTACGAGTGGGGTCCCACAGGGATCAGTTCTGGGTCTGATTCGGTTCAATATCTTCATCAGCGATTTAGAAAATGGCAGAAAGAATACAATTATAAAGTGTGCGGACAATACCAAGCTGGGAGGGGTTGGAGGTGCTATGGAGGATAGAATTAAAATTCAAAATGATCTGGACAAACTGGAGAAATGGTCTGAAGTAAATAGGATGAAATTCAATATGGACAAATGCAAAGTACTCCACTTAGGAAGGAACAATCAGTTGCACACATACAAAATGGGAAATGACTGCCTAGGAAGGAGTACTGCGGAAAGGGATCTGGGGGTCAATAGTGGATCACAAGCTAAATATGAGTGAACAGTGTAACACTATTGCAAAAAAAGCAAACATCATTCTGGGATATATTGTGTTGTAAGCAAGACATGAGATGTAATTCTTCTGCTCTACTCCGTGTTGATTAGGCCGCAACTGGAATATTGTTTCCAGTTCTGGGTGCCACGTTTCAGGAAAGATGTGGACAAACCGGAGAAAGTCCAGAGAAGAACAACAAAAATGATTAAAGGTCTAGAAAACATGACCTATGAGGGAAGATTGAAAAAACTGGATTTGTTTAGTCTGGAGAAGAGAAGACTGAGGGGCGACATGATAACAGTTTTCAAGTACATAAAAGATTGTTACACGGAGGAGAGAGAAAAATGATTCTCCTTATCCTCTGAAGACAGGACAAGAAGCAATGGACTTAAATTTCAGCAAGACCGTTTAGGTTGGACATTAGGAAAAACTTCTTAACTGTCAGGGTGGTTAAGCACTGGAATAAATTGCCTAGGAGGTTGTGGAATCTCCATGACTGGAGATTTTTAAAAGCAGGTTAGACAAACATCTGTCAGGCATGATCTAGATCCCCTACCACGAGTGCAGGGGACTGGACTGGATGACCTCTCGGGGTCCCTGCCAGTCCTACAGTTCTACGATTCTATACTGAAAAGATCACAAAAATGCTACCCCCTCCAAGGATTTCGCTAAGATCAAAGAGATAGTATTCAGTACAAAACAAAGATATGTACTGTTATACTGTATAGTTCATAAATTGTATTTGTACAAATGTATCAATCACCAAAATTCACATACTTCAGTTTTACCATATTAAAATTGTAACCCATATAGATATTTATTTCTAGAGTATATCTAGAACATATTAAGTGTGACGGGGCAAGGCCAGATGGCTACAGAAAAGTAGTGGGAGATAGAATATTAGCTCCAGGCTAAACAAATCCCTGGGACCAGGATAAGTGAAATGGCAGCTGCTCCAGGTCAATTAAGACACCTAGGGCCAATTACGAACTTTCCAGAAGGCAGGGAGAATGCTAGGTTGATTGGGACACCTGAAGCCAATCAGGGGCTGGCTGAAACTAGTTAAAAGCCTCTCAGTTAGTGAGGTGGGTGTGCATGTCAGGAGCTGTGGGAGGAAGTTGCGCTGTTGGAGAGACTGAGTAGTACACACCATATCAGGCACAAGGAAGGAGGCCCTGAGGTCAGGGTGAAGAGGAGCTTGAGGAAGTGAGGGCTGCTGTGGGGGAAGTAGCCCAGGGAATTGTACATGTCATGTTTCTAAAAGGTCAGCTACCACAGCTGATACTATTAGGGTCCCTGGGCTGGAGCCCGGAGTAGGGGGTGGGCCCAGGTTCCCTCCCACTTTGCCCCCTGATTAATCACTGAGACTGGGAGACAATAGAGACTGTGCAAGGAAGGATAACTTCTCCTCACCTCCCTTACTGGCTTATGATGAAAATGACTCAGTAGACTGTGACCCTTGTCTCTAGAGAGAGAAGGGTTACGTGGAGGGTCACAGCGAGCCTCTGAGGCTAGTGAAATCTGCCAGGAAACGTGGGACCCACGGAGGCGAGGATGGAGCTTTGTCACATAAGTTATAGCATAGAATTTGAAATGGTTTGTACATGTTCCAGATTTTTCATAGTTGAATATATATTTTATATAATAGTACCTAGAGAAAATATATTTTGTGTTTATGGAGAGAAAGGGTGATCATTTAACTACAGAACAGGTTTGGGAGTGAGGAGATCTGGGACCAAATGTCTACTGGTATCTCCAAAGTAGCTATCACTATAGTATCTAGTTGCTGCAGTTCAATTGCAGAAAATCAGTGAGTCAGTCAGTCAATCAATCAATTCTCCATCCTACCCTCTGGTTTACCCATCATTGCTATCTGTCTTTCAACGTGTGGCCTGTTTTTTATCCCTTCCTTCGCTGGTTCTGTGACAAAGCCATAGACTTCATTGTTGAAAAAGCCCTACCAACAGTTCCCTCAGGTCTCTGACTAAGTGAGCTTCAGCATAACAAACTAGCTGATTATAGATATTGCGATGAGTTGTGGTAGTGAGATAGTACAGGCGTATCCCTTTAAGGCTTTGTCGATCAGTAGCAGTGCAAAGCCTTGATTTACAATGGAGTTATTCATTCTACTCGGAAAGCAACCGATGAAGTGAGCTGTAGCTCACGAAAGCTCATGCTCAAATAAATTGGTTAGTCTCTAAGGTGCCACAAGTCCTCCTTTCCTTTTTGCGAATA